TATATATATATATATATATTGAGATTTTTTTTAAACTTAGAATATAATAAAATTTTAATCAATCTATCAATTTAACTTGAGTTAATTTATTCTGAATTTGACTAAGTGATTAAATCGGCCCTTAGTTTGATATCTAAAATTTCAGGTTAAATTAGATATCATTAAACTTTGACTAACTCTTTGATTAATTATTAAATAAACAGTAATATTTAGTCTAAATTTTTGTTTACATGTTATTATTCTTTGTCCATTTATATGATGTATCATCTGTTATCAAGTATTTTCTTGATACAAAGAATTGAATGGTTCGTTCAGGTTTTCTACCCTGTAAACAACAAAATTGGCCCAAATAACTCATTACTAATTTTATTGATTCAGATTCTAAAATAGACAAAACTCAACCAAATATGCCCTACATAGTACATATTTTTGGGTTCGTTCGTGAAGTATTCACCGCCGATAGTAGTGACTAATCTTCTTGTTACGTTGGAGGCACTTCAAAAGATGGGATAGCTGACTCCAAAATTTAACGCGGTTGCATACACAAGGCAAAATTTGAACCCCTAATTTTACTTAAACGTGAATCAACCCCCACTGCTAAACCTGCGTATCACATATGATAAATGTAGTGTTAATGCGCTGACTCATATCGATAAGAACACTTTCATATCCAACAAACACAAACACAAACAGACGCACATGTCAAATGTGCCGCAGCAATAATTGCCCACCAAGATGACGTGACTTTTTTTTTATTTTAAAAATTGAAATTACTTATATGATGAAAAAAAAAACTTATTATCTTTCTTTGATTTTTTTTTGTTACATCTTTCTATGATTTTTTTTTGCTGGATTGAAATAAATTAACATTTTATTAAAAAATTAAAATACCTCACTATAATCAACCTCGTAGTGGAGGGTCTAAGTTATATTAAAATGCCTTAAATTATAATTTTTGCAGGTATTAAGATTAAGAAAAACAAAAAATAAAATAACAGACAGTAAGAGACGGTGGGATTGTTGATTAATAATTTCTGTCACACATGCCCACCTTTTCCTCACTCTTTTATCAAAATGACGCGGATCCAAAGACTCTCTCTATTTATTTATTCCAAAATATAAAAAAAGTGAAGATATGTTTATTTTTATGTAAAGTAACTTATGTTTTATGAAGTATTTAAATTAATATTTCAGTATGTAAAATGTATATAATAAATATTTATTATATGTAATTAAATTTACAATAAATTATATATAAATAAATATTATGTTTGAATATATAAATTATATTTAAAATTTATATAAATAAATATTTTAACTATATAAATTATATTGTAATATAATATAATTTTAATTTATTAAAAAATTATTTTTAAAATATTAAAATTTAATTTATAAATAACTATGATAAATAAAAATTAAATTAAATAAAAGTTAAAAAATATCTAAAAATTGTCTATTAAATAAAAAAAAATTAAAATTCGTATTTAATATATAAAAATTAATTTAAATAAAAAACAAATATACGTATTTGTCTTTCTTTCTATAATCTTCACTTTAAAATCTAAAAATTCATAACTAAACAATTGATATACTTTATTTTTTAGTTTTATCAGTCATGCAAACACCCTTATGACAAGGTCGTTAGTTTGAGATTTTTTTTTCATTTTGAGTTAATATATTTTTATTGATAACCATAACAGAAATTATGAAGTAAATGTTAAATATAAGACTAAATTCTTTATTTACCTTTTCAAGATAATGTTGAATAAAATATTAACACCGATGTAGTGATGAAAAATTAGATAATATCTACATAATGTTAAATTTTAAAAAAAAATTGTTATCAAATTGAATTTTTAAAGACTAAGTTTTACTATATTTTTTTTTTAAAAAAATTAGACACTTATAATATAAAATAATTAATAAATTCATTTTCCATTACATTAATTCTTTGTAAATAAAGATATAATATTGTTTTATATTTTTAAGGCCTTAATTTAGTAATAAATTCTTTAATAACGTGATAGAAGATAATTTTTTTAAAGATATTTAGTGACATAAATTTCTTAAACAACTAATGTATATATATATGAAATTTTAAAAATCAAGAATGGTTTTTCCATAGAAATAATATTCTATCACAAAATTTTAACAGTAAAAAAAAAAAAGCATATGATGAAAACGTGGTAGTAATTTAAACGAAAATAGAATAAGTTGTTTCGTCCCACTTTCCAATCAGCAATAAATTTTGGACAATAACATCGTGTGCCACGTTTTGTAAAACTAGACAAGTAGACCCGTGGTTGAACTATGATAAATGATATATGGGTAGTTGTTGACATGATAATGGATGAGGTGTGAACAGATAATTTCACTTTTTCACTTTATTTCTAAACTATACAAAAATTTAACAATTCTGCCTTTATATAAGCACGTTTGAGGTTGCTCAACTCAATTACACAAGAATTTCCTTAGGCATTATTGAGACATAGAAAGATATAGAGTACAGAGAAATGGGGAAAATGGAACAAGGGTCACTTGATTCAGCTTCAGCTATACCTCTACCTTTGCTTTCACTTAACCATGTTTCTTTTGTTTGCAAGAGTGTGACTGAGTCTGTGACATTCTATGAGAATGTCCTAGGATTTGTGCTTATCAAAAGGCCTTCTTCTTTCGAATTTGAAGGGGCATGGTAACTTCTCAACTAGATCTTTCATTTTCTGCTTCTCTTTTCTAGTTCCCCACATGAGCTACTACTATATATATTTTCAAAAGTCATTTCCATGTGCTGGATCCATCATGCATGTGAATTATTTTTATCTATCACAATCGAATTTATATTAAGAGATTTATAATAATTTAAGACACTACTCGACGAATTGAGTTAGAATCCACCTTAATCTATGCATTTGAATATGATTCATCAAGAAAAGTTATATGAAACTAAACATCTACCATTTGCTTAACGTCTAGCTTTCCTTTTCAAAATGAAAATGGAAGGAGTAGAAGAAGAAAGCTTGAAAAGTTAAAAGTTACGTACGTAGGATGCATATTTCATTAGTCAAGTTTTTTCTCCTTTCACCTTGATCTGAGTAATTAACTCCGATTTAAACATTTATCAAACATCAAGTTTCTATTATCTTTTTCTCTCCTATTAAAAACGACCCTTAACTTTGTTTTCCTATTAAAATCGCACATCTTAGTAGATACTCATGTACCTGTTGTGCCATCGGGTGTTTTTCTTTTAAAATGAAAGTTAGGAAAATGCATCTTATAAAGCACTGTCAATAGTACATACTCTTGTACTTACCTGATGTGCCGTTGAGTTTATATTTTCTTGAAAATTTTCGGAAGTTTGGAAAATACATCTTACAAATAAGTTAATATATTATCATTATTATTATTATTATTATAAGTTAAAAGTCAGTTTCATCTTATACTAATTGTTATGAGTAGAAGATGAAAATTGATTTAAAAACAAAGAGGTTACCCATCATAATTAATAGGTGTAAAGGCGCATATAACTACTGCATGTATAGGTTGGTGTCTCGAGATAATTGAGGTATGTAAAATGAAGAAAAAAAGTGTGAATGATCATTGATTTGAAGTAAATTAAATTTACAATAAATTAATAAATATATTTTTATATCCTTACATTGGGATGTGGGGTGGGGTCATGCCCTCTGCTAAACGCCTAAACCTTCTGATTTTTTCTCACATACAGTATACTTCTTTCTTTCTTTTTAATCATTACATTACATCTATCATTTTTACTTTTATTGTTAAGAATTTAGATATATATACATGAAAAATTTTGGTTCACAAATTCAATCTGAGGGGCCCTCGATTTTTCTCATCTGTCACTCTATACATCGACCACGCGCAGCACACCTACTTTTTTCATCCAGCTGTCTAAACTTTAAATCATAAAAAATAATTAGGATAAAGTATTAAATATGCATGCATTGACAGTTGACACAATAAGAGAGAAATAAAACATAGTAAGTATTTATAATATGACATTTTTCCCATATATGTCTAAGATAGCTTTTCGGTAATGGCACGAATGTTGTTTAGGTTATTCAATTATGGCATTGGCATTCACCTACTTGAGTCAGATAAGGTTCCGGTGAATAAAAGAGAGATCAACCCCAAAGAAAATCATATTTCATTTCAGTGCTCAGACATGAAACTTATAATGCAGAAACTTGATGAAATGAACATCGAGTATGTGACAGCACTTGTGGAAGATGGTGGAATTCAAGTTGATCAGCTCTTCTTCCATGACCCTGATGGTTACATGATAGAAATATGCAACTGCCAGAATCTCCCTGTGCTTCCACTTTCCTCATGCCCTCTAAAGCTCAAGCCTAGTACCAATTATACAAAAGATCAAGAACCATTTTTCTATGGTACAATTTTTTTTCTTCTTTTTTTTTCTAAAACTAGCTAGAGAGTTTGGCAAGTAATATATGGATGATGACATGTTCTCTATTTGGATGATTTTGGTTTCGCAGGAGATGGTGGTACGTTGAAGATGAACTGCTTTGTAGAAGAATCTATGCTGATGATGGACAATTTAATGATAGATATGTTGAAGATTTCAATATAAGGGTTGCTGTAATTTCCCTAATTATTTTGTAAAAAGTTTTGTGAGAGCCTTTTTATGAAGAGAGAAAAGGGGAAATAAAGTGTGAGAGTAAATTTACTTTAGTAGTGAAGTGTGATAATATATATATATATATTTTTTGAGTTCCCATTTGTGTATAGGGACGTAATTCTCTCCCTTCTTTAACATCCGCTTGTCGTTAGAACAGTGGATTACATTCCGATTATTTATGTATAAATAGAGAGACATTTTTATTTTTAAGTTTTAACAAATAAGATTGAAATGTGATCGTGGTTGCTTCAAGTCTTTCACATTATTAATGTGATCAATGACTATGGGCTCTAGTATTTCTTCTGATATTTAATAATTAAGCATGTCGTAAACTTTAGGCCTTTTAATAAATTGTTTTAAAGATGTATACTTTTTGACTTTTGCATTAAGAATACATAGTGATTAAAGAATTGATTTCTAACAATCTCGCCCATGTTCTACATTGAGTTACACACTTACAGGTCTATTGGGAGAAACCCAAAAGTCAAGGTAAATTTGTAAAAATATTTTTAAAAAAAAAATTGATTGTGGGTTCCTCGTGAACAATCTTGACCCCAAATATTAACACAACGCTACAAGAATTTGTTTAAGGTTGATCCTTGATGGTCTTTTCCAACTTTGCACAACGCGACATGAGTTCATTTCTCACCCAATGTGTGGAGGAAAAGATAAGAAGTATCGAAAAAGACACAAAGTTGATAGCGATCGTAGAGACTCTTTCCTAACTTATGCATTTCAACTTTATAAGATCTTTCTCATATAAATCTCTAACTCATGAAAAAAATTTCATTTATCTTACTTTATATATATTTTTTTCCTTTAAGTACTCATTTAGAAATTTATTCAAATAACAAGACCTTATACACTAAATTTGAATTTCTTTGTTTTCTTTTTACCCTTTCGCTCGACCTGCTGCTTACTTAATATGAAAAGAAACACAAAAAAATAAATTCTATATAATATATATAGCGCGCTACTAGTTACAACAAAATCTTTCTTTATTATTGAACAATGATTTCATAGTTTCTACATATTTGTTAGAGTTACCCTACACCACTATGAACTCCTTCCCAGTCACCTATAGTCTATATATGAAAGATTATTTTACAAGTTGCAGTAACGTTATAAATATCATATTCCACATTAAATAAAGAGATTAACCAATATCTTCAAGAATCTTTGAACGGGCAAAATCTCAGCTCCAAATTCCCAGCAAGTTTGAGACGGGGAAGGGAAACGGAGGGTCATCACAGGGTCCAGTGTAACCAGTTACCAAACCATGAATCATGATCGGAACATAAAGGAACAAGAATGGTACTAATCCCTTCCCTTGTCAATCGCATTTGGCAATAACAACAAAAACATCACCAAGGGACCATTTTCTTTGCACCGACTTTTCTGAAGGGTTGATAATAGCACGATCTTGGTTAGCCAGGCGATATCCTATAACTATCTCCTTTCTTGTACGACCCCTAATCATTATATCATAAAAACACAGTTCTTCCTGGTCAAATAAATAGAACTCTGCTGGTTTAATACACATCTCGTTCCCCTGCCATAAGTAAACACAATGTCCAACATATATGTAATTTATGGGAGATGACCAAAGAAATTGAAATTCAACTGAAATCTATCAATATCATGAGAGGCAGCAAGAGTCAGTTCAAATGAGGGATACCTCCTCTGCAAATAATTCCTCAAGAACACGGTTGATTTGCTTGTCTTCAGCCACCATAGCTAGTGCCATGCTAACCAGCTCATTCGATAACACATAATCACTGATTCTGGACACAGACACTAGATTTCTAGTTCTAGAATCCAAAATTTCACTAATTATAATTGATTTATCTGAAGCTTGCTGCATTTCACGGATCCAAGAGTTGTGAGAGAATCCAGATAACCTCAGAGAAGTTGACTTTGTGTCTTTGTATGGTAGACGTCTTGACTACAAAAAGCCGAAGGGGTTATTAGAAATTTAGAAATTTAGTTCGCAAAACAATGGGACAGTAGTCATTGATGTGAACATAATAACCATAATTTGAAATGCTACAATAATGGATACCTGTATATCGCGAATGAGCAGAAGGGTAGCTAGAGACCTTGAGTCAGAATGAGCAACAGAGTCCTCCACTGACTCATCTGCAAGAATAAGGATCTGTCCTTTTAGAGTTAGTATACAGTTGAAGAAGATTTTAATTTACTTTGCCCGACGATCTTTAATCTAGAGATATTTTATAACACTTAATCGGTTAGTCCTATTTCAACACTTTTCTCAAAATTTTACATGGGTGCAATAATGTTGAAGTATGATTTAAAGGCAAGTTTTATTGTAATACACTTGTCCAACCTTATTCTATGGTAGTGAATGTTAGCTTTAAAGGGACATTAATAGAGAAATTTGGGTATAGCAAAAATGAGAATGTTAACATGGATGTGTGACCATACAGGAGAGGAAATGATACAAAACAATTGTATACGAGGAGATACTGGTGTTACATCAATTAAGAAAAAATGATAGAAATCGATTAAAGTGATTTGATATGTACAAAGAAGGCAACTGGAGGCACTAATGACTATAATAGATTGCATGATTTGTAGTCCAATAAAAAAGTGGGAGACAAAAAAGATATTGGAAAAAGCTGTGAAGAGAGGTTTTTGTTGTTATTCTTGCTGCTATAATTATATTTTGGTTGCGTGGCGATTGTATAATTCCTTCGGTCTTTTTTAAATACCCAATTAACTAATTCACCAATATTAAGGAAATTAGTTAATTTAATTAATAATGTTAAATTTGTTTAAAATTTACATGTTCTTTCCAAAGTCTGATTATCGATTAATGCTAGCTTTACTTCTTGGTTATTCATGATCATGACATCAGCCTCTTAATATTCACACGGTACATAAGTGCCGGAGGATTCCTTCCTCAAGGCACACCGATTAACTTCAAACCTGAAATGCTACAAAAATGAAGATAAAAATATTTAAAACTTACCGAATCAAAAGTCTCCAATGGAAGACCCTCTAGGTGCCGCCTGATTACAGCATTGCCCTCCCTATGGACAAGTTTTATGTTCTCTAGCTCAGAAACATCAAGTCCACCATCAACAAGCTTCTTCTCTCTTTCCTTTTCAGGAACCTCATTGAACATCCACAGTTCTGAACCAGGAGCCAAGAGTGCTTCTAAAACCTATGAAACAACAACGATTTAAGGAAATCTTAGAGGATTATGTTTATTTTTAACTGTGTTTTGAAAACTCATTTTCCATAATATGTTTTTAGAGTAGAAAATTAAGAACACATTTTATTTGTTTTTGTTGTCTTTGTGGTTATCGATTAAATCACCAGAGTTTGGAGGGGTTTGAAACCCACTGAAGGCCCCTCGTGGCCTATGCTAGGCATGGTCAGCAGAGCTGTGAATACTGAATAGTACCACAACTAAAGGGTGTGGCCGTGTGGGGACCCCTGATAATCTTAGCAAAAAAAATAGTAGCTCCTGTTGTTCTTGTTAAGATTATAGAAAACTATTAAATAAGAGAATTAGTTCTTTCTTAACATTAATATGATAGGGCATTATAGCGGAGTCATTTGTCAAAAGAGTAAGGATATATAAGGCCGTAATGCAGAGTGTACAGAACTTATAGAATTACCATGATCATATCATCAATATCACGGCGCCAGCCACAAAATAATATCTTCTCTGGATATTTAGGTGGATCACGTATCCTTGGGCAAAGGCCCTTCCGTACCTGTATAAGTATATAACATTAAAAACATGTATAACACACAAACACGTATATATGTCTGACTGCAGAAAGTTATCACATAAGTCACCGACTATCATTAATCAAATAAATCCAAGAGAGTGTGCAACATATACCAGATTCTAAGCATCAAATTAACATCTTTTCCAATAAGGCATTCATAAATGGACCCAGTTCAACAAGAGGAATTAGACAGAAAGATTACCTCTGGAAGAGGACCTGGAGCATAAGTGTCATCATCCTCAGCTATGACAAGGACTTCATCCCCATCTCTCAGAACATAACTATCATCTGGATTGATGATAATCTTGCCCCCATCTGTAGCAACCTTAACTCCACAAGGTATTGCATCGGGAAATGAAATTAAAACGTCTTTGAAAGATAGACCATCCAATTCAGGCCACCTTTTGATGTAAAACTCAGCATTCTCAAACCCTAAAATATCCTCCCATATCTGACCATGGGAAGGAAGCAAATGAACGAAGACTGAGTGATACCATGGTCAGGCATACGGAAACCAAATGCAACAGAGAAGTGATAAAGTCCATAACGTTTGAGACACTTTAAGGACAGAAAAATGGCAGTCAGTTTCTGGATCTAAGAAACAGGCTTTGTATTACAAATGAAAATAGTTCGTGCAGATATTCATATAGAATGTGTCATAATTCATGGGCGTTCTATATGTGACTTAGCAAGCACGCTCTAGCTATTGTAAACACTAAACACATGATGACATAAGAAAGGGGGAGCAACCCTCATGAGGGTGAGTGGAAGAGAGCTAGTTTACCATGATATCACCTCTAGGACTGGGGCCTGGGGTGTATCAATTTCAGTAATACTTACTAGAAGGACTGAGTTATTTGACTAACCTGTGCAAGGCCAGGCTGTAGAGCGCACTGAATCATCAATCGTCCAATTACATCGTGTGCAACAACGGTTTCAATGAGTTCTCCGCCGACAAGTTTCACTAGAGGTTCGTTGTCAAGGTCACTCATTTCCACAACAACATGACCCCCTAAGCCCTCCCTTACACCTGTTAGGCTGAGAACAACTCTCAAAGCACGTGCATCACTCTGGAGATAGAGATTTGAGAAAAACATTGACTATGAGGAAGTTTCTCCAGAAATGTTAGATAAAAATAACAAAGGAAAAATGAGTTAGGTGAATGACCTGATCGGCATTTTCATCCGAAGCTAATACAATGATTGCACGTGCCTTAGAAACTGAAACCTGTTAATAAATAATTTAATTTGAGAATGAAGAAAATCGTAAGGAAGAAGGAAGGTACAGGTAAACAACTCGAAACCTATTCCCCACATTATATGATTCACAGAGATTATATAAAAAGGTAACCTTTCCCCTGAAAATATAACAAATGGGTCAAAGATACCCCATAAATACCTTCTTTAGGTCAGCCAGTATAAGAGGACTGCCACTTCTACAAATTACAGACGTCCCCATGAAATCAAATTCCAGCTTTGCTATATCCAT